TGCACATAATTTTACGTAATTTCCATCTATTCGGGGGTGGTTTCCAGGGTGAGTTTTGAGATACAAATTCTGAAACAGGGTAGGTATGTTTTCTCTCTTTGTTCTGATGATATTGTTAGAAAAAAAAATTCAGAAACGATTATTTCACATAATTTTTCGTAACTTTCATCTTTTCGGGGGTGGTTTCCAGGGTGAGTTTTGTGATACAAATTCTGAAACAGGGTAGGTATGTTATCTCTGTTCTTTCTGATGATATTGTGAGAAAAAAAATTCAGAAACGATCATTGCACATAATTTTACGTAATTTCCAGCTATTCGGGGGTGGTTTCCAGGGTGAGTTTTGAGATACAAATTCTGAAACAGGGTAGGTATGTTTTCTCTGTTCGTTCTGATGATATTGTGAGAGAAAAATTTCCAGAAACGATCATTGCACATAATTTTACGTAATTTCCAGCTATTCGGGGGTGGTTTCCAGGGTGAGTTTTGAGATACAAATTCTGAAACAGGGTAGGTATGTTTTCTCTGTTCGTTCTGATGATATTGTGAGAAAAACTTTTTCAGAAACGATCATTGCACATAATTTTACGTAATTTCCATCTATTCGGGGGTGGTTTCCAGGGTGAGTTTTGAGATACAAATTCTGAAACAGGGTAGGTATGTTTTCTCTCTTTGTTCTGATGATATTGTGAGAAAAAAAATTCAGAAACGATTATTTCACATAATTTTTCGTAACTTTCATCTTTTCGGGGGTGGTTTCCAGGGTGAGTTTTGTGATACAAATTCTGAAACAGGGTAGGTATGTTTTCTCTGTTCTTTCTGATGATATTGTGAGAAAAAAAAATTCAGAAACGATCATTGCACATAATTTTACGTAATTTCCAGCTATTCGGGGGTGGTTTCCAGGGTGAGTTTTGAGATACAAATTCTGAAACAGGGTAGGTATGTTTTCTCTGTTCGTTCTGATGATATTGTGAGAAAAAATTTTTCAGAAACGATCATTGCAACATAATTTTACGTAATTTCCATCTATTCGGGGGTGGTTTCCAGGGTGAGTTTTGAGATACAAATTCTGAAACAGGGTAGGTATGTTTTCTCTCTTCGTTCTGATAATATTGTGAGAAAAAAAAATTCAGAAACGATTATTTCACATAATTTTTCGTAACTTTCATCTTTTCGGGGGTGGTTTCCAGGGTGAGTTTTGAGATACAAATTCTGAAACAGGGTAGGTATGTTTTCTCTGTTCGTTCTGATGATACTGTGAGAACAAAATTTTCAGAAACGATCATTGCACATAATTTTACGTAATTTTCATCTATTCGGGGGTGGTTTTCAGGCTGAGTTTTGGGATACAAATTCTGAAACAGGGTAGGTATGTTAACTCTGTTCGTTCTGATGATATTGTGAAAAAAAAAATTCCAGAAACGATTATTGCACATAATTTTACGTAATTTTCATCTATTCGGGGGTGGTTTTCAGGGTGAGTTTTGGGATACAAATTCTGAAACAGGGTAGGTATGTTTTCTCTGTTTGTTCTGATGATATTGTCAGAAAGAAATTTTCAGAAACGATTATTTCACATAATTTTACGTAATTTTTATCTATTCGGGGGTGGTTTCCAGGGTGAGTTTTGGGATACAAATTCTGGAACAGGGTTGGTATGTTTCTCTCACTCATTTTGAATATCCTATCGAATATAGATTTTCAAAAACGATGAGTTAATTTGGTTTTGATTAGTTCTGAAGATATTAATCTATATATAGGGGTAGTAGCACCCTATTTGTGTGTATACCCCAATTCATCATTATAATCATCATATTGACGCAAATCATTTGGATCGCAATGGTTTCAGTCGATATCTGAATGTTAAAACGGAAGAATCGATGTAATAACATTTTACACCTGTGTGCATATACTATCATTTCGTTTCCGATACGGAGACCGTTTCTATTTTCACACCGGTATCAGATATTGGTAAAAAATCCATCTATCACAATGGAATGATACAATACAATTCACTACCAAATAACTTGAAGCTGATTAATAGGATTGAAAAATTCAAAAGAGAATTCAAGAAACATCTACTCCTGTAATATTGACATCTTATCTCATTTTTATAGTTTTCTTGTACAACTACTATAGTTTTCAATTGTGTACCTAACAGCTGAGTCAATTGAGGATCATTTTCATTTGAACTTGAAAAAAAAAAGATTCTTTTTGAGTGTGCCTCTTATTTTACTGTCTTCTTTATTTTATTTTGTCAAATATATTTATGTATTCACTATGTTCCCTGCTATAAACAAATGTTGTTTCTTGGGAATAATAAAGTTGATTAATAGTTAGTTTAGGGCCAGGTAGCCGTGCGGACAGAGTGTCCATATTCTAATCCGCATTCGCTTGCCGGTCGTGGGTTCGAGTCCCGTCGACTGCAGAAATTTTTTCTGATGGCCCAAGAAAGTGTTTGGGATCACACGTTAAAAGGTAAGGCCCCCGTCATTCCTTGCTCGCACAAGACTCTCGAAGACTTCTGAGGGTTGCTCGTAAGGGGGCAACCGAATGACGGATAGAACAATTTTAGAACAATTTTAGAATTTTTTTTTTCTTGCAAAAAAATTCTCAATACATTTTCTCATAAAAACCCCTTTTTATTTCAATAAAAACTCAAGGCACATTCCAAAAGGATGTCTCTGAAAAACTGATTCTATTGATGGTCATTGATACTGGTCCCAATTTGGTAAAGATCACAGGCCTGATAGCTGAGATATAGAGGAGGGGGCATTTTTTTTTTTTGTAATTGCATACCGCCTTAGTCCCAGCACTGGGATCAAACGCCCCATAAGTCGAAACTTGTGCAGGGTTAGGTATACATACAAACACAAACATCCATGGCCTAACTAGGATTCGAACCTAGGTCTCGGTGGGAGTCCCCATACAAACTCAGCGCCTTAACGCTCTTGACCACCGAGCCGCCCCTTGAAATGTGGCATGCTGTAGATTCATTAATGTTTGAAATTTTTTCATGAAACTTGGTACAGATCTATTTCAAAAGAATTCTGGATTTGTCAGCCTCTGAATGTGATCTAGTAGGCCTTGGTTTTTTTTGAAAATGGAGGCTGCTTGACTCCAAAATAAACCTTATCCCCCTCTACATTTTTTTAGAAAGTCCAAAGGAAAATAAAGATATTTATTTATTTATTTATTTACATTTCAGATAAAAAATCATTGAAAATCTCCATAAATAAAAAATGTATGAGGGTCCCCTTTCAAATGGGTCACTCTGTATGTACATAATAAGTGATGGCAAGTGTGGGGTATTATTTTTGTTGCAATAAACATAGCTTTCATTATTATTTTCACTTCTTGGGAGTTGGTTCCCAACTGTAAACTGAGAAGGATCAATATACAAATCTTGCAAAAATTTAGGAATTTATAGGTTATTTTGTGTGCTTTTAGATTTCATGTAATGTAATTTTACTTCACTAATAATCAGCTGATTGGTCTTACAGCTATACCTACCAACAATATTCAAACAAATGAAGAATAATACCTAATATTTGAATCATGGAGGACAAGTTCAGTTTGAACTTTGAAATTTGATGAGAAATTCATGTAACTGTCTTTCTAGTATAGGTAACTACCCCATTTGTATACAGGGTGATTCATTAAGAATGGGACATCTCTGAACTACAGATATTAAACACAAAAATAATGAGATTTAGCCCAATATGCCTGATGAGAATGTTGCTGGTTTAGGAGATACAGGGTGTTCTAGGGGGAGATTTTATTCAAAATTTTGCAATAACTGTTAGTTTTAGTAGCATGAACATGAAATCTTGTATTTCTTGGTTTTGTGACATGGGTGATATGAATTTGCAAATTATTTTGTGATTGCTCATGGAGGGTGCTAGTGACACTCTGTTATTCTGATAATTTACATCATATCTTCTATGTCAATTCATTGATGATCAAAATGATGTACTCTTTATCAAACTGTCTAGCTTCAATGGTTTTTGTGTTATTCACTCTTGAAGAGATTCATTTTCCACTTATGACATTTTAATAATTTTATTTATTAAATTAAGAATAGAACATCTCTGAACTACAGATAGTAAACACCCAAGCATGAAGATTTAGCCCAACATGCCTAGTAAAAATATTGCTGGTCTGAGAGATACAGGGTGGTTAAGAAAAATATATTTAGAAATAAAATCTTCTCCTTAATCTCTTAAACCATCAATATTATTATGAGGCATGTTGGGCTCAATCTTATATTTGGGTGTTTACTATCTGTAGTTCAGGGATTTCCAATTCTCAATTTAATAAATAGAATTATTAAAATATTATAATTGGAACATAAATCTCTTCAAGAGCAAATAACACAAAAACCATTGAAGCTAGACAATTTGATAAAGAGTACATTTTTCATGTGAAATTGGAGGAGCTTTCAAATTTTCCACTTATTTTGATCATCAATGAATTGACATAGAAGATATTATGTAAATTATAAAAGTAATAAAGTGCCATGAGTGCCCTCTATGAGCAATCACAAAATAAGTTGCAAATTCATATTCCTCATGTCAAAAAAAAATAGAAATACAAGATTTCATGATCATGCTGTTAAAACTAACGAAGTTATTGTAAAATTTCGAAATAAAATCTCCCCTTAGATCACCCTGAATCTCCTAAACCAGCAACATTCTCATCAGGCATATTGGGCTAAATCTCATTATTTTTGTGTTTACTATCTGTAGTTCAGAGATTTCCCATTCTTAATGAATCATTCTGTATATACTAGACATAACCCTCCACATAACCACACTACCAAACATATATTTCATGACTTTTATGTGCATTTCACAGTTGCTCAAGAACTGATGTGGATTGTGGAATACATTTTTCAAACAAATAGGTACTCTAATACAGTGTTAATCACATACAGTGGGGCATAGTGTCACACTGTCACACTCTCCATGCAAACAAAATGACCTATTGTGTAATCATACCTGATATGTGGTATTCCTATTCCACCATGAAGAATTTTATAGAGTTTACTTTCATAGAGGAGCTGAGGATGTCTTGCTCTAACAGATTCAAGTTTGACTGCCACTTCCTAAACAAACAAAAAAATTCACATTCTCACAGAAACCTTGAAAATATTCTTGAAAATTTTACCAAACTGTATATTATAATAGATATACCTAATTAGAATTGGAGCAGCTGCTTTACAGGAAACATAACAGACTATACCATATAGAAATAAGTGGTTAATTTTATAAGAAATATTAAAATAAGACCAGAAAATATATTTATATTAACCAGTTTTTTGTAATGAAATAGAATGGAGGAATCATGGAAATTGTGAAATCTCCTGCAAGATTTCATTAGCCTGATAATTTAACCTACTTTTTAAATATCACATAATAATGAATGAACATAAATTAGGAATCAACAAAACAATATTTTAGCCATAAAACGTTTTCTAATCAGAGATTAACAGAGGGTGAACTTAAAAGCTGATTGATATTCAAAACAATGAAACATTCTAAAACGGGACTGAAAAGGCTATGGCTGCCATTTTTGCTATATATGATTGTCAAACTGGTACATGTAAAACAAAGACCTATGTATTCCCTGTTCAGGCTATTACGAACTATTTGAAATGTACGAAAGAGTTAAAAATGAAACTTTACCTCTCCATTTGTGATATTTATTCCCAAATAAATGTCACCAAAGGATCCACTACCGATTTTACGAACTAAGCGATACTTTCCAGCTACTATGTATTCTGGTTTGCCGAGTCCTACGAGGTGAGCAGCCATTTCGATAATTTGAAAGTAGTCTATTAGAAATGTGTTGATTAATTTTGAATAACAGAAAACCAATATTTTTTATACAATAACACTATCACTTGTTCCTCCTAGCACGCCGACATTTCTTCTTTTACTGTGACTTTGTGACGTCACGTCACTTCCACAAACAAAACGAACTAAACTCACGTCACACGTCCGTTCCTTCAATGATCACCTGTCACAATGCTGTCACAATGCTGTCACATCGAAATTTTTGAAGTGTATGTCTAAAGCGGCGTTCACAACCAAACTTTTTACGTTTCGTATTCTGATTGGTGAAGCAAAATCTGTAATTGAAATGTCGCAAAAACTGAAAATATTCAGCTTTTTGCGTTGCAAGAAGCCATCGTCTGTGGAAATAGTAAAAATAGACGAATAATATGGAACATTCTGTAATAATATGGAAGTTATGATGATGTTTTCATGATTTTTTTGTGAATCCACAGAATAGTAGATAGGTATACTGTTCAATTCATTATTTCCTTGTTGAAGATTGATTTTTCTCTTCAAATATAGAATAAGGATCAATTTTATTCACCGCCAGTTCTATGAATATCATTAATTATCTGATCAATATTATTGTTATAATTATTTAATTTATTTCAGGATGAAAAACAAACATCAAAACCAAGGCAACTGAGCCATAAAAAGTCACGTTGATTTTTTGTTGTTGTGAATGACATTTGCATAGGTTTAGTTCACGTTTAATTTCAGATTCTGGTTCACCAATCAGAATACGAAACGAAAAAAGCAAAACGTAAAAAGTTTGGTTGTGAACGCCGTTTAAGATGCCTATCAACTTGGTTATTTCGGTTAGTAGAGAAGTTTTCCGTTCCGTAAATATAAAATATTTGGTTAGTTCCAGGCTCCTGTATGATCTAAGTCTTAGATCTAAGGTTCCTGGAGAAAGCGGGACCAACTTCTGTCTACAGCACAGGTAGCATTAGGGTCCCTTGATGGAAATTGACGTTAAAGTCATCTTAACAGGGTACGGACAGATAATACGGATATACGGATAATCTCTATCTGTTTCCATAGCGAAACATGAAGCCGATTTTTGAAGACAAATGGCTATCCATAAGGAAAAGTTTTGAAACGATCAAACACATACTGCTTTGATTGAAAGGCTAGTAAACGTCATTGTCCACCGAAACGCATGTCTTTGATGACTACTATAATAGCGCATGGCGCATGCGTATCATGCCACCAAATCCTTATGGATATTCATTTGTTTCATATTTTTGGCTTAATCCTGGCACCCGTTATGATCCATATTGTTTATATAAACACTAGATTTTTGACATTCGTTGTTTTTTATGTTATATATTGAGGTCACTGGCGTATCATACGTAATTTCTATATGGAATTCCTGATTCAACTATACCAAGATATTGCTGAACAATCCTCTAGTTTTAGAGTTTACTACTCCAGCATAATCTTTGCGATTTAGGGAACATATATAAATTGTACTGATAGCTCAATATATTTCACCAAAAGAGACTGTTCTTAGACTGTATACCAGGGTAATTGACTGAATAAATTCTGATTTCAAGCTGAGCAGTAGTTTACCTATGAGCTGAATGAGCTGAGCCTCATGTAATGATGACTTTAACGTCAATTTCCATCAAGGGACCCTAAGACTTTGCCTAAGACTAGGGTCCCCTGATAGAAATTGACGTTAAAGTCATCTTAACAGGGTACGGACAGATCCTCGTCTCCTCTCACTCTAAAGTGTTTGTGAAACAGTAATATAGTTCCATCCTTATTCAATTCTGGGGATAAACACTAGATTTTTGACATTCGTTGTTTTTTAGGTTATATTGAGGTCACTGGCGTATCATACGTAATTTCCATATGGAATTCCTGACTTAACTATACCAAGTTATAGATAAACAATCCTCTAGTTTTAGAGTTTACTACTCCAGCATAATCTTTGCGAGGTAGGGAACATATAAATTGTACTGAAAGCTTAATATATTTCACCTAAAAGATGACTATAGAGACATCTCAATTTCACCATAAGAGACTGTTCTTAGACTGTATACCAGGGTTGACTGAATTGAGTGAATGAATTCTGATTTCAAGCTGAGCAGTAGTTTATCTATGCGCTGAATAAGCAGAGCCTTATGATTGAGAAATGGTGGAAACCTCGATGTGGGTATCAAAACTACTGTGCTCATGTCATGTGTGCTAAATATATTTTCGTAAATCTAACTCGGAGAAGAATCACACTAAGTATAAAACTTCGTCTAGGACGAGAAGAAGGCTGAAAAAAGAATATACTTTACCGTCTCCCTTGAATAACAAGTCATTTTCGAATAATTTATTGATGAAAGTAACAAAGAAGTACGTATACGCAGTATAACTTATAGGCACGTTATTTTCACTCTTGCATCCTACATATTTTCTATTTGTGATAGAGTAATTATTATATAAATTAATGTCTTTCGCCATATTGGGCTCCGTGGCCGAGTTTGTCTATGCGCTGAAATTCGCTAGGTAGCCGTTCACGATGCAGAGGTACTGTCGGTTCGAATCCGGCTGTCGGCTGAGCATTTTTCTTCGAAATGTGTGATTCATGGTTGTAATCCTGGCAGCACCTCGATGCCCTAGAAGTGGTTCGGATTCCACTATAAGCTGTAGGTCCCGCTCTTCCTAACCCCGCACAAGTTTCGACTTCTCTGGGGAGTTGGTTCCCAACTTTGAAGTAGCGATATACAAATATTGGATCCGTCATCTTGAATTTTCCAATTTTTACGAAACAATCATTATCTCCTACCCCGAAAACTACCAGATACCAATTTTGATCTTCATTATAAAACTCGTCCACCATACTGGATTCGCCATCTTGAGTATCCCAATTTTGACGAAATAATTATAATCTCCGACCCCGGAAATCCATAGATACCTTCCAATTTTGAATAGAATCGGATCATAATTACAAAACTCGTCCGCCATATGATCTTCCTCAACAAGTATCAATCATCAAAATTTTGAATGATTTTCTGTAGCGCCCATGGATGTGAAGTGACAGCAATGTCAGGGATGCCAGTAGACAAAACTTAAGTTTCTAGTCCATTAAAAAAGAATGCAGCTATGATTAGAGTCCCTGTATATACCTTAGACAAGAGTCCGGACACAAAACTGACAGCTGTTGGGGTTTTCAATATTTTGTTTCATTTGGTTTGTCCACCTGACAATGTGACGAAACACCATAGTCGTCCCGCCCGCTTTTTTTAATTATTTCGAATTTCTGTCACTGTCACTTTGAAATTCTATGACCGCCAAAATTTAGCATTTTAAATTATTTCAATTCCCTGCTACGTACATTATTGCGACAATTCATTAGAAAAGGGATTCAAGTTATAATTATTTAATAGTTATTATAGTTAAAATAGCCCTATTTCCAACTTCTACCTACAGCTATGAACGGTTTGACAAATAATCTAACCCTCAAAATTGTTTCTGACAATCATTGATACTAGGGGAATTGAAAAGACAGAGCTCGATATATATGTCTTATTCCTTTATTCAATCATCAATGCACTTTTTGAAAACAGAAAAGGACAGAAGTATAGCTGTGTCTGGACTCTTATCTAAGGTATATACAGGGACTCTAGCTATGATCTGTCCGTACCCTGTTGAGATGACTTTAATGTCAATTTCCATCAAGGGACCCTTCCTAAGACCTGCGTTGATGCCGACGTAGGGAAAGAATAATACGAAACTTGTCAAACCTAAAGTCCCGCTAACCTTGAGGTTTGAAAGATTCGCAGGTCTAGCTAGACGCTTGGAAGGATTAGGCTATATTCCGAATTCAGCTGGTCAGTACTGTTAGCAGATCCACTGACTCTGCTGAAAATATGTGTTCCGAAATATAAAATCAAAAATACAGTGCTTTAATTCGGGACACGTTTTCATGGTTTTCATCAGTAGTCAGCAGCAGTTGATCAGCTGGTGAAATTTTTCAGTATGTAGTATCTCGTTTATCTGAACTAGATTATTTTGCCTCCTGCTCGACATACATTTTGGAAATATAATATTTAACATGAAAGAACAATCGGTTCTTGTAGCCTTAATAGTTTCTTCGATTGTTGACGATGACGATTCAAGCTCGAGTGATGAAGAATTCTTGGACATTTATGTAATATGGCATCAATGATGATGAATTCAGGATACATTCCAGGTTTATTTAGTTATTCATAAATGCTGCTTCTTCTTTCGTCACCTGTCTTTTACTTCATATACTTCATACTCTATATAATCTCTATATTATATTCTCAGCGTTTATTATTTCGATAACGGGTATTTTCTGATATCGAAAATAATATAATTATTAACAACGGAAATAAATGTTACATGCCTTCCCCCTCTAAAATAATGACAGTTTACTGAAGCCACACAACCTTTTGATACTCAGCAATTCCAGCAGAATGTTGAGTCGAAATATTTGGAATGAATAGTATATCTGCTCACAAGCATCTGTCACATTCAGTGATTTTTTGATTTCGGAATGAAAAATCAGTAGATTCAGTACTGTCAGTTGAATTCGGAATTTAGCCTTAATACTTTGATTTGAAATGTTGGCCACATTGAGTGACAAGTGAGTGGTGTTCGAAATGTATGTCAAATGTCAAATTCATTTTGAAACAGTAGATTTTTTGATATTTTACTTATTTTGTGCATTTTCTTTATTTTATATTTTTCGGATTCTGTATGATGCATTTTCCGTAAAATAATATTAATCAAAGGTATTGAAAACAATTCATCCTGTTAGAGGTTGGGGGAACATTGAATTACCTATGTTGTATTGTAAGTATTTACAATACATTTGAAATATAACGGTCATGTTGGACATCCCGGAATAAAAAGGCCGATTCAAAATTATATAGTATTGCCTGCCTATAGAAAATTACCAGAATCACATTGAAAAAGTACTCGGATTTTGGAGTTGACTTGGAGTTATGGAAACGTCAAATAATGGCAGTTATCACTCTTCATCTGAATGTTTAAAAATGAGGGAATTGATTGATGCTATCAATGAATATTTGAAAACCAGAACAGAAAACAGTGCTCTGATAATCAAAAAGATTCTCCAGGTTGGTAAATTTTTGTATCAAACTCCTAAGAAGCAGTTAATGATGTTTTATTAACACCTATTACTCTATCCCTATCAGTGACAATCTTTTCTCATTTTTTAGACATACAGTGTTTCAATTGACGTCAGTGCTTTTGATCCTGATACAAGTCTTGGTGCACAATTTTATGTCAGCCTCTATGAACTTTTCACAAAACTTGAACCACAGTCACCTATGGCATGGGATTGTGTGGATGTACTATGTAATGCATGTCGCAACTGTTCAGCAAGACAAGCTCTCATTGATACCTACCAGTTTATTCCAAGCTTGTCAAAGCATTTAGGTGACCAGCTCAGTAATGTTAAGAAAAAAAAGCTCCTGAGACTCATGCAGGTGAGAATAATAAGTTCAATGCCTTATTCATATATTGTCCCTATTCAAATAATGATGGCATTACTGGGTGATGCATCAGAATGATGAAACTTGATATTTAAACCAGCAGGTAGTTATATATTTTTGAAAGTGATTTCAGCCAGTGTGCTTTTTGGAGGGTATCATTATGTATATATTTTTATGTTGAAAAATGACATATTGTTTTATATGCATAAGGGGTGAATACTAAAACCTAAAAGATCTACTCTGTCCCCTTCTCTTGCTAAACACAATGAGGTTGTTCTACATTGCTATAGCCATTTCTCTAGTCCTATATCCCTCAGAAACTTCAGGGTATGGGATGGTTCCAGGTAGGGTAGCTCCTCCTCCTCCTCTATTATGTGCATGCTCCCAGGTATCTTGTCCTTGAGGACATATGAAAGAATCCTCCAGGGTTCTTCATGTATTTAGGCATGTTTTCAAGGTTGAGATCTACTTGGACATGAGGAAATGGTATATACATTTTTCCATAGCATATGTATAGCACAAACATGTAAAACTTCTTGAAGTCAACCTGTTTGAAAACTAGTAGAAATGCTTTTTTTAAATGCAACTGGCCTGACCCTGATTACCTTTTGGGCATTTGCAACCTGTATTGTATTTTCAACTACACCATGTCAATTATATAGCTTCACTGAAATCTATTGAAATTTTTTGTTTGTGAACAAATGATGTTAATTAACTTAAATGCATGAGGAACCCAGGAGGATTCTTTCAAGTATCATTTTTTACCTTCAAAATATATACCTAATGAATACCTCCAAAAGGCATACTGGGTGAAATCTGAAAATCTATCACTACCTGCCAGTCTAATTGGTTCCTATTAGATACAAATTACACATCTGATTACAACATGCATACAGATCTTATCTGGTTTATGTTGCCATTTAATTTGTACTACACTTCAAATCAGAGGACTTATGGTACAGCTATGCAAACAAAATTCAATAGAATGAAGAATGTGTGAATTTTGGATGGCAAACCCCGAGGGGTGTCTCACTTCAACAAAATGTGTACACCATATTGGATATTGTGAGAATCGAAGCAATATTGATTAGATTTGTAGCAATCCCTTAAGATTTGCAAGATTTCCAAGATTTCCAAGATTTCTCCAGATTTCTAGGGATTTTCTTAGGATTTCTTGGATTTATCAAAGATTGAGAGATTCCTGAATATTTATCAAGATTCCTCGAGTTCCTGGGATTTCCCAAAAATCTCAGAGATTTTCAAGATTTCTCGGATTCCTAAGGATTTCTCAAGGATTTACGAGATTTATCAAGGATTGAGAAATTTCTGGTGATTTTCAGTATACATGAGACTGTCGAATGTTTTACAAGGTTCATCAAATTTGAACGGATTGTTTCAACATTTGCTAGAGTCTTCAAGATCTGAAAGAATTTTTCTGGTCATAATGGTTGACAATGATTATGTTCTTTCAAGAATAAAATACACTGTTATAAGAAACAATAGTTTCAGAAAAGAGAAATGCTAATAACCTTCAGAAAGTATACCTCTCTGACAAAATAAAAGCGAATCCTCGTTTAATTTCAATGTCACTGCCACTGAATTCAACTGGTCGAGGTAAAATAAAAAAAAAATTGAAACTCGTGACATTTTCATTCAAATAAGCAATCGCTCTTCTTTGACCGGGTCTCCACGTAGTGTGGAAAAGCTCTATAAGTCCATCGAAATAAGAGACCTACACAATGACTTCATTGTGCATGTTAGTATTCCACCATAAATGACATCTCTCATGAAATGTCAAATTTAAAGCAATGACAGCTTTGTCTAATAAAACGGCAAAGCTTTGGAATTCTTTGCGAAGGGAAATATTACCAAGAACTTATATAATCTCCAAAAGTTCAAAAAAATCTAATATCTACATCCCTAGGTTAACACGATGCTCGGCACGATGTTTTCCGAACATTATAGGCAATCACTTTCAAGCGCCCCAAGAGATTAATAGAGTATTACCGAGTATTACCCTTGATTATATACACTAGTCTCAATGGCAGTACTGGAGGCATTACTGTTACTCACTGTTATCTGTTCCAGCCGTAGACATAGTATAGTGTATAACTCGCACGGAATGCTAATTAAAACTCATATGATTTTGCCTGCTCATGCTGCAAACTTCATTCTCGTGGAAAATGACTCAGTCCGATACTATGTCGTTATCTTGTCTACACAACCATGTTGCAATACTTTCGCGCTGTTGCCAAATTAATTAGAGTTATTTCAAAAAATCGGATGTGGAGTGTTTATAATAAACTGCCAATGTAGACTGTTTTCAATGGTCATCACTTTGTTACTCCAAATGGAACATCCTGTATAGTCTAGTAGATAAGCATTCACACAGTAATTCACAATTATTGCCATTCGAATAAAAAAGTTCGCGAATCTGTTAAAGATATTACCAAAGTGTCTTTGCGGCGCAAAGGTATAGGTACTGCATCAGTTAAGACGTCATATCATTTTATGAGAGCAAGTTGTTTTTGTTTTGTTTATTATGGAAATGAGATCAGCGATCAGCAGCGGACTCGAGAACGGACCCTTACCCCCACCCTTTCTTATTTTCTCGACGAGGAATAACCTGGAGGATGTCGGATTGCGCGTGGGATTGGGAGATTCTCGGAGATTCTTGCTTGGGATTGAGAGATTTTCACGGTATTTTCGGGATTGGTAGTATTCGAAGAAAGATTGAAAGATTCGATAAGAGATTTATGAAATCTCAAGAATCGAGCTGTGATTTCCAAAGATTGACACATTATTTTCGTGGATTGTCAGATTTGAAGAGACATTTAGGGATTCGAAGAGATATTTGTGGATTTCCAAGATTGAAGCTTGGATTGGTGAGATTTCCAAGATTCGAAGCGAATTGGAAAGGAAGTGTACACCAGATTGTCATAGTGAGACACCCCTAAACCCAATTTGAATTTTCAAATTCAATAATATTGACTTTCAAACTTTCTTCCTAACATGTAAATATACCTTGATATACAGTTAGGTCTTTCAGCCAAAAGTACATGTATTTTGAGTCTTTCATCATGATTTATTTTTTATTGATACATGTATTGTATATTTTATTGTATATGTCCTGCTGACTGTATATAAATTTTCTTTCATCACACAGAATAAACTACTACTACTACTACTACTACTTCCAGCTTTAGTACATTTCTAATTTTTTAAAGACCAGGTGGAGATGAAGTACATTAGTGTGGAATGCACATTTGGAACAAATACTCAAATACCATATGTTTCATTATCCATTTGTTTTTCCATGGTAATAAAAAACAGATAAATAATTGAGGCTCTAGTGTGATACCAAAATGCCTATTAATCACAAATAGAATCTACTAAATACTGGGCTACATATAACCCAGGAAACTGGTATCAAAATACACCATCTTCTTGCAAAACCCCAGTAGCCCGTTTTATCATCATACCCTATGTTTTTTTGGGGCGCTAAATTTGAATTTGATATTCCGCCTTGATGAATAGAATCTTCATCTGAACATCAAGGTGCTCCGCCATAAGTATAGTTATAATCTATCCAAGACATCCACCTCAGTTCCTTTTGAAGTCTGTGCACGTGCGGACATCTGTTGCTAGAGATGCTCCAATGGGTTTTGGAAAAACTCACATACAAACATTTGCTATCCATCGGGCGCACCATAGAGATTAAATTATTTCTTTAAACGTAAATTATCAAGTGAGCTCCTGGTACAGTGAGTAAAGCGTCAGCATACCACACTTGCGGCCTGGAGTTCAGTCCATGGGAAGGACAACTTTTTCACGCGCTCAGTGCTGAAGAAAGACGAGAGGGATATAGCCGCACATGAGAGACAGGATCGACTCTCATCACCGGTACCGGCAACGGAAAACCTATATTAACGATATCTCTTAAGTTATTAGTGATATTGAAGTATTTAACTCTACTCCTATTGTGTGTGATTGCATGGAATTACATATTGAACTCTACTCCTGTTATGAACCATTCCTGATAGGTATCTCATTTTGTATATACAGGAGTTACATCAATTCTAAGCTTTCAAATTGTCATCACCCTATATATATGGCAAACCGGACTTAGTATCAGAGGAAAACCTCATGTTGATGATCAAGATCCATAGTGTGTCAAATAATTGGCCGATTCTTGCCGATTGTTTTCAAGTTTTCAGTGATTGAGAAAAAATCGAAATTCTGATATTTTCAATATTTGTCTATTTCCATGAATATTTCCTTGTCATGATGGAATGCAATATGTATGTGATATCATTATTTATTCCAATAGAGGGATTCATGAGGTAGAAATTAAACGTGGAGCGTTTATTTTTACTGAAGATTTATCAGGACTTAGAGCACATAATTCAAATCGATGCAAAATATTCTAAACAGCCAAAATTAAATGATTGACACCCTGTAGCACAAATGGCAACTGTGCTATGGTCTGCCCCTACTTACAAAGCCGGAAGGCCCTATTCTAAATCTAATCTAATCTACTTACAAAATCTTGGCTTCAGTTTTTACTGGCGGTGAATTTCTGGCCGTTTGAAAATTATCATGGCATTATTGATGATTTTAGCATCTAAAAGTGGACCAACAATTTCTTAAAAAATATGAAATTGAAAGGTATTTGAGTGATGATTCTATTTAAGAAATAATAGCATATTACATAACATGTGTTGTAATAAGCATATTACGCACGAATGGAAAAGTTACGCGGCTACGTGCGTAATTGCTTTACAACACGCATTACGTACTATACTTTACCTACTGCAATATAGTACAGGGTGGGCAAAATTGGGCGTTTTCACCGTCTATCTCAATAACTAGAGGAGTTATCGAAAAACCGATATACATGTTCCGGGTTCGATTTTAGAGAAACGTCGAATGGCACAATCAAAATTTAGATATCTTCATTCGTTTTAGAGATACAGGGGGAAATTGAAAATTTG